AGCGGATTACAGCCTTGAAAAGATGTATTTTGGTGTCAAGTACTGGCATTCAGATGAACATGAGAGGGTTAAGTTTCATTGAAAGAAATTCGTGCTTAAAGTGCTAATAACATTGTAAAGTGATAAGGCGATCAGTCAGCTGTGCTCTTAGTTTGGCTTTACGCAGCTTGATTACATTAGCAGTCAATTTTTCGTCGCTTTGATAAAATTTCTGGTTTGAATCAGCCTGACTATCATCTATATACCTACACTTGAACAGCTTTTCATAGTGCTTAACCTTCCGAACCTGAAAAGCCTTGTTCACCGAACAGCTGTTTTTCCTGGGCTGATTTGTCGGAATGTATTAAGCTGAAAGCAGTGTGACTTTATACTAAATGAATTAAATTCTTAAAAGAAATAACCTCAGTTTCATTTCGAACGACCAATTTTTTCTAGTCTAATTTTCGATGCAGTCCTTAACTTTGTCATATGTGTTTTGCGTAGAAATTCTACCAATATTTCATGTAAAACCACATCATTTTTGTGCACAGTTTCTTGATTATCTTTGAATATCATTTGCGAACTGTGAAATTGTAAGGAGAGAGCGACTGGGAGGTGAAAAGTTCGAAAGAAGAATGAGGAAAGGGAGGGGGACAGAAGAGAATGCTTTGGCTAGGTGCGTGGGAATGCGTACAGACTAAGGATGCAAGATCCTTTTGCCTCTGCTGGATCTGTTTTTGGGATATTTATATAAAATTTTTGATTATTTTTTGGTAAAGAGCAGGTTTTTTGTTCCCAAATTTTTTACTTTTAATACGTGTCTTATTTCATATTTAATTTTTCGGTTATTTGTATTGTTACGACTAGAAGACGACGTTACGACGAATGTTCCGCAGATTATTCGGATGGGGGTACAACGAGCTTCGGGCGAGACTTGGATGAACGCCGATGTGCTGTATACGTTTAGTGGCGAGACTGGAGCAAACAAAACGAACTTTATCAACACCAATAAAAGTTCACAGTTGAGTACTTGAGGCGACAGGGTCAAGTCGGACGATTGCAGTGAAAACCGGTGCCGACGGAGAATGCTGATCACTGGAGCGCAGCAACACACTGCTGCAACTGAACACTGGACACCGAACACTGAACATTGGATACCGGGCACTGGACGATACTGAACATTGAACTTTACTGAACATTGAACAAATTTACAGGCTTATATACTTATCACAAAGGGCGGGACAGATCACAGGTCAATCTGCTGCGCGTTTCTGGATTGCTGTTTGCTTCTCCCGCGCGCCATTTTTTGCTCATTATACAGTATTGGAATTTTCAGATTGCTATTTTGCGCCACATACGTGGATTAAAGAAAACTGGAACCGCAAATCACAGCACATCAGCGGAGGAAACGAAGAGTAACTCGCAAGGTTTAGAGCGATTTTCAGTTGAAAAGAAGTTGAAAAGAAATTCCTTTATTGTTTCCAGTTCATTTTGCTTTTAGCGTTTTTCTTTTTTTTATTTCCTTATGCTGCCTTCTGTTTTTTGAAGACAAAATTTTAAGGGAAAAAAGAAACTTCAAGGGCACCGGACCGTGACGATATATACCACATTCGTTTGCCTGCAGGAACTACTCCGAAAACTCGCGCCATTCTTCAGAAACACAATATGTTGAAATCTGCAGGTTTTGATATTAATATTAAAATGGCGACATACCCAGAAAGGAAAAATAAGGAAGTCGGCCATTCAGTTTTCTTTCTGCGCTTGATAAACTAATAAATTGGGAAGAAACAAAATGAATGCAATAATTTGAATTGAAAGAAGCAAATTTTTGCTGGATAATCGTAAAATTTAATTAGTTGGTCCAAAAATAGGCCGAAGGAGCGCCATCTTAACTGTGATATGAATCAAAGGCCTCTGGTTACAATGATGAGCTGGAATGTTAAACTAATGCGGGAACTTTTAATGGCAGTGTTGCATCATGATTCCCTCCTAGGTAGGCCGTGTAATGGCACGGATGCGGCGTATTCAAGGCCGCTGTGCCAATATTGTAAAGTAGTTTCGATCCATTGTGGTGTTGCGGTATGGTGGAGACGTCCCAGACGATTCACGGACACGGACCCTGCTACCCCGAACTGTCGTCAAAGAGTCGCTGACCCAACTTGATAAGCCGGAGCACCAAGGCAGACGACGAGCCCTTAGCCACCATCCCAATAGCAGTAATCGAAAAAAACAAGATTTAATCAGTCTTTTTTTTTGTTAGGACCTAGGTGCATTGCTACTGTGATTTCTAGATATTCATGCAGAAGTTTTGAAAACAGCTGTAAGTGCAGAATCCGTATATTTATCAGGTTTGCTGAAACGTGGTTCGAACGGAATACGACAGTCTGGACACGAGATAGTTTCATCAGCACGACAGCAGCGTCTAAACAAGTCGAGTGCGAGAAGTACCAGCCGTGTTGATTCTACATCAGCAGGTCACTCTTCGCTTTTCTCTTTGCAGCTCTAAGATTCGTGGAGTCGTGGGTGTCAATTAAAGTCGGGGGATATTGATTTTTTGCTAATTGTACCCTCTGAACTGTGTGCCTTGTTAGTCCTTTTTGATCACAGCGTTGTTTTGGAACGAATTGACTCAACTGCCAGGCTTTCACGGTTGATATGATCGAAAATGTATCACACCGTGGTGGTCCAACTTGTGCTATGATTTCCCTGCTCCTTCCCCACCTTTCTACACTGAAATGCTATTTTTCGTATTTTATTTGTCGCTTCTTGGTCCCCCATCTCGTTTTTTTAACAGTACTTCTGCCTTCTTCCATGTAAATTACTCGTAAGAGGATATACTAGGAGTTAATTGCTTAGAATCTCTGAAGTGAACGACTTCGGGTTTACAAGTCCACAGCAAAAAGCAGCCACATGGTTTCGAGAAGGGAGTATTATATTAATACTGATGTTAATTTTCAACACATTTCTGAATGTTGCTATTTTTTTGTCAAATTGCCGTTATGATCACAGTCCACATAATTATGACTGCGAAGCTTTTAAGAGGTATCTTCAACGACCGAAGAATTTTACGATCGATTAGGTGTAAAAGGCCTTGTATCGGATCGTTACAACGCAGCAAATAATACTGTTAAGTAAGCTTTTCAGTACTATTTTTCATACGGATTTTTCAGTTTCCGTTTTTATTTATTGTGCGTTTTCTCATTCGTTGTACTTGTTTTACGGTTTAGCATTCTTTGCGCAGGCTGAAATACTTCTCTCAGTCAGTGCATATCACGGATTTTTCTCATGTTTTGACAAAAAAAAGTACATTAGCATCAAACGTTTTTGACTTTTTTATAGTTGTTAAACCATTAGTATCAACAATACGAGGACTGTTGACATTAGGAACCCAGCAATTATAAGAATAATTTCGATTTGCTGGGAGCTGTTGTCTGTGAGTTCGCTGTTCGACGACTACCAGCTGTTGTAGACGCACATCGAGAACTTCATCATAGATCGAGCAGAGGAACGTGAATAGAGCTCTTTTTTTTAAAAATCTTTTTTGCTGTTCTCGTACTGTTTCGAAGGTTTGTCTCCTGTCTTTCAGTTTTGAATTACATCAGAAAGTGCTAATACTGAAATGCTAACTGTACTTTTATTGGCATTTGTTTTCCAGAGTTGTATCGGCTTCTCCCACAACACTGTTCGGACGAGCTATCACTGAGACAGCAGCAAGCCATGCTTCGGAACCAGTTTTTCGAGTTACACTCAATACTGCAAAGAACAGAGCGTGGAACTCACAAATTAGAGCTGATGATTCGGTAGTTTTTTGTTATTTAGATTTCCAGGAATATAGGTTTACTGATTCGAATTCACCTGTTTTGCAAATTGAGAAGTTGCTTTACGACGGAAATGACTTGTTCCAGCATAAATGGGAGCTTTCAGATGCGCCCAAAATTTGATGGAGCTGTGAGAAAACGAAGAATCCAGAAAACTCAGCTTGTGAAAAGCCATGTGCTCTCGTTACCAAAAGCAGTACTTGTTCAGAAATTCGTACGCCCATCCATTTTTGATCGTTTGAGTTAATTTTTGTAATGTGGAATTGCAGAATATCACATGTATCATAAGCGTGTCTTTCTAATAAATCACTGATTTACGCTTTGCAGACGCTTTGTTTACGTGGTATTCATTTTACCGAAGTGGAAGTGAAGGTGATAAGCGAGGAATTCCGCTGACCCTGCTGAGATCCGGTGGATATCCCTCCTTTGCGCACCTGCTAAATAAAGAAGGATCACTCGGACAATAAGATATTGCGAGTGCGCAGTGGATTTTGCAGTTCATAACTGGACGCAGTTAATCCAGGGAGGGCGTTTGACGAAGTTGCGCTCGGCATGTAGCAGCATTTCGTGGCGTGAAAGGTTTACAGCGGAGGGTCCTCATATTCTTTGCATTTTAGATTTTGTAGGAGCGATGAAAATTTGAATCCGTGTCTTGCCGCCAACATTCAGAAAGAAAATTATTGGCATCACTTCTTCGCCGTTATTGCCGTATTTTTTATCCATAGAAATTTCTATATTGCCTAAAAACATTTATTTAAAAAGACCCGAAATGTAATCAAAAGCTCAGATCTTGCATCTGTATTTCTGGAGCAGGGCAGTGTGAAACGACTGATTGAATCAGACAGCAGCTTTACCAGCATCGCTTAATTGTTTCAGCATTGCGCTTCAAGCGATAATCTCCAACAGAACAACCACAGTTATGCATTAAACATCACACTATAACATGATTTAGCTGCGAGCCCTACACCATTAAAGAACATGACAAAATTATGCTAAATTATAGTCCGTCGAGGAGGTTTTTCGTTCGTATGCAACCCAATAGGTATGTAACAGTAATAGTGTCGCAAATGAGAGATCCATGCTCATTTAATAGAGGAATGACAGAGAAAAAACAATTGCAGTGCACACTAGGCATGCCGGTGTGATTATGCGTTTTTTCATGATTTCGTACTGCAGTGGGATCACTTGGATTAGCACACATTATCATGTCCTCAGAAAATTTCAGCTTATTAGCTCAACTGCCTTCCGAAATCACATTCCCGCCAAAAATAATCAGACATACCCTCACATATAATGCAGTCGTAAGCAAATTCTCATCTCACATTCACGAACTTGCAAACAGATGAAAAAAATTCTCGTAAAATCAGAGGAGACTAATCAGATTAGCTCTGGACTTTGCCAGTTGTTGCAAAGTTGCGGTTTTGACGTCCCCGTGCGCACGTCACAAGTGTACATTCAAGCTGAATTTGAAATCTTCAATTGAAACAACAGCATAGAATATTCTTGTGAAATTTCAAATTCCTGTTTTACCTGGTTCCCGAAATCCTTTTCCCACTAAAAAGTTAATGCCATTTTCTGGACGTAAAACACAAGTGTAAGTGAATGACGATTTTAAAAATGGAGCGTCGCACCTGGAATGGGAACGTGCCTCAAAAATTTCAGCTTCCTCGCTTCACTGGTTGCTTAGTTAAAAGTGGATGACAGAAACGCGAATACATACACACACACACACACAAACACACACACACACGCACACACATACACACACCGACAACCTCTCGTCGATATGTGTTGCATTTGCATAAATGTGAACCCAGGCTGGAACGCACTAGGCTTGCAGGTGCGATCATACGTTTTTGCACTAAACTCGCAGGTTGCCAATAGCAGGAATGATCCCTACTCTGTAGACTAACACTTGGGTCATATTGGCGTGCTCTGATCCTTTCCGACATGCATGAGAAAGGGTGTCAGTTGGGATGAAGATGGTGCATTATAGAGCCCCATGGGTCTCCAGGTAAATAATTATCAGTATTTTGCATGAAGCTCGGTCGTTTTCCGGCAAATGCTAGCTTTCTGAAACAATAAAATTGCAAATTTTTGGAAAAAATGCAAATTTCCAGTTCACTAAAAAATGGAAATGTTGCTAGAGCGGTCGTCTGTCAAAAAATCCAAGTATGCAGATGAACTGAATGTTCATTTACATATTTGGATAAGGGCGGTCGTTCGCTGCAAAATACGTCCGTTTCTGATTTTTCGGTAAAGTTGAGTGTTTTTCATACCTACCTGGAGGGAATTTCACCTCCTAGCAGAATTAAGGCCGCATTTGAAAGTAGAATGTCTCAGCAAATTTTCAGCCTCGCAGCTTATCCGGCAAGCGAAATATCCAATTCGCTAAAAACATTGTTTAGTGTGCCCTAAATCGTGGCACAAGTGCAAATCGATACTCATTTTACGTATACCATTTTCTATACGGAGACAAACATCCTGACAAAATTTCAGCTACTGCTTTTCGCAAGTTTTCGAGTTAGCATAGTACCAAGTCGCAAACTTTGACGTGCTCATACGCGCTATACAAGCGTGCGCGACAGCTGAATTTGAAATCTTTAGCTCGCACATACACAAAGAATATCTCTGCAAATTTTCAGCTCTGTACTTTGTCTGGTTCGCGAAATCGCTTCCCGCCAGAGAAATTTTATTTTTTTGATGGTCTGTACGCGAAGCCTAGGCGCGTGCGTGGGAAGATCTTAAAAACGAAGGGTGACACAGGGGTAGGAACATATGCCCAAAGTTTCAGTCTCCCAGCTTTCCTGGTTGCTGAGATGAAAGTAGGTAACAAAATGCACTTGCTTCTGAGCATACACACACAGCTTCTCAACAATATGCGTTTTTACTGGCTGTAGCAGCGCTATAGCGCTGCACAGCAAAAACACATAAAAACGCGTATCTGCAAGAGTTTTTACATGTATGCAAGTCGCAAAAACGCATATTGGGAAGAGGCCGTCTGTGTGTGTTTGTGTGCATGTGTGTGTGCGTGTGTGTGTATGTGTCCGTGTGTTCGCACTTTTTGTCACCAACTTCCAACTCGAGGACTAGAAAGGCTAGAAAGCTGAAACTTTGGGAGTATGTGCCCACACCGTGCGCGACCTTCCCGTTTTATATCATTCACCGCGGACACTTAGGTGCCGCTTACGGGCGCTTTAAAAAACATGCAAATTTTTTGACGGGGAAGCGATCTCGGCAACATGTCAAGATAAGGGGCTGAAACATTGTAGAGATATTCTCTTTGCATGTGTTAGCTAAAGATTTCAAATTTAGCTCCTAGGTATGCATGGTTGTCACGTACGAGCACGTAAAAGATTTGACGGAAAAATTGCTAACTCGGCAACCAGAAAAGCTGGAAGGCTGAAATTTTAGGGGAATATTCTCTGTCCGAGTACAACTCAAACATTTCAAATTCAGCCTCCAGCTATGCGATGTACTCATGTAAGGGCGTATGAAATTTTCTGCGGGAAAATTACTAATTCGGGAACCAGAAAAGCTAGAAAGCTGAAATTTTAGGGGAATGTTCCCTGCCCAACTACGACTCAAGTATTTCAAATTCAGCCTTGAGTTATACGTGATTGTTACATACGAGCACGTAAAAACTTTGGCGGGAAAATTGCTTGCTGAAGAGATAGGTTACTGTTAAATGGAAATTGCACATTTACTTTATGCAAAATTTATAGTGATTTATGTTAATGAGCGCAAAAGGTAGGTTTAAAGCAACAACCATTCATGCGGTTAATGTCCTGAGTACTTCAAGTTCAGTGCAAAAGCGCATGATCGCACGGGCCGCCCGGTGCGTTCCAGCCTGAGTTGCTCGCTACAGCAGCAATAAAGCGCTGCACAGCAAAAACGCATCATAAGAGCAAACATATAAAAAATCTGGTCAGATGCATCATGCCAAAAGTCAAAGATTCTGATACCTCCACTGGGGCAACCAATCCCGCCACGATTCGTTCATTCGTTTCATAATAAAGTAGCATTCCATACCAGGAGGTTAAAAGTTGTTTGAAAAAAACTGTCAGAGAGTCCAGCAGACGGCTTTCGTGTTGGCATCCGTCACTTGAACTAATTTGGGGTACCTCCGCCTTCCAGCTTACCGTGAGGCTTTGGCTTTGGATTTGTCGAAATTGATTCTGAGCAATGTGGGAAAGTCACCACCTGCATAACATAGACATACTTGTTTGAAATTTTCGAACTTTAATGCGAGTGCCTGCTTTATGGAGATGGCTCAAGAAAAAATTTGTAAAACATTCATTTCTGAGCTCTTCTTCCATTGAAAACCCCAAAAAAAAAGAATTACGATTTGCACCGCATTCTGCTTTAACTTCGGCAAATCGAACCCCGGATAGGACTCAAAGCCACAAGCCCAGTCAAAATAAGTCTCAGCATTGCTTTCTCTCATATACGGCTTAAAATCTTAAAAGTATGTGTTTTTAGCCTGTCAAGTATTAAAGTTGGCCTCTTTCCTAGCGAAGAATACCATAGTTAGAGTAATATATAAAAAAGCGCCTAGAGTACTGCAAAATTGTTTCCATCCATGGGTTTGTTTGGAAACTGCCAAAATTTTAGCTTTTCATTTGGCGCATTTCAGAAGATAACTTATCCAGGCCCAAGGAAGTGCACATACAGATATGGCTTTACCATCATGCATCTCTCAGTTCGTTCATAAGCTGTTTGTAACTGTGGCACACAAACGGACACTAAAGAAGTGTATCATCGGTGGTGTATTCGCAACGCCTGCTGTTCATTGATGAACTGGCTACAAATATTGGCGAGAATACAGGTGCTTGTTGTCCTCGAGAGCTGCAATGACGAAATAATGAATCGTGATAAAATTCAAAATGTTGACACTCGTGTCACGCAGAATAACTATACTGCAGACTCTCAAATTCGTGAGACGCCAAATTGGTGGCAGACTATATACATTCCTATCATCGGAATTCGCGATGCTCTACACATGCATGCATTTGTGAAAACGAGGCGTAATTTCACAGATATAGATGGAGTAAAAATTCAGCACGGTAACCAAAAAAAATGGAGTGAGAAACACTCGCTTTTTGGAAGGATATATGCATCTTTAGAAATCCAATTTCAAGCACGCCTCTGCTGGACACATGCAGATTTTGGAAGCAAATTTCCCAGCCCTGAAATAAGACGAAAAAGAAAGCTGGAAATTTACAGGGATGTTTCTTGTCAATGTGCAACCTTAAATTTGAATTTAGCTGCCACACGCGCTCACGTCTTGTTTACGAATATATAAAGGTCCGGGCTGGAAATTGTCCGCATCCTTCTAGCTTAGTGGGGTAGAAATGCGCAAAACGTACGACGGCGCCGGATACTTAGTGCTCATTCTTTCAGATTAACAGTGTTTTACAATTTAACTTTCCTACTGAATGTTTTATTTTAGTAGCTTGCTGTCGATTGCTTTGAGTGTCTAATGTTTTTTTTTTTTATCGAAATAGATGAATAGGGAAATGTTTTTCAAGATGAATTTAGAAGAAATTCCTCAGTGCCAGAATTTTTCAAAAGTGCCACTGCCCGGAAGAAAGCCTCAGTTGTCAATAACAGGTCAATATGATTATCAAAATTTTCAAGGTTGCCCGGGCTGTCGATGTCGGATTCCAGTGCCGACTGAAACGCGCACACGTTTCGTGTACAGAAATATGCGTCTCATACCACATGTCTGGCAAAACTGGCTTGGAAGAGGACTTTGCGTACCTGGAACAAGAAGGCAATTCAGTACGGTTGTTTTCACTGTCATGATTATTATCGATGATCGAGGAGCAGTACAGGAGAGGAGCAATAAAATCATTACTAGCAGCAATTCGCGCCGAAAGACAACGCTGCATTCTCTCCTTTGAAGCGCTAAGTAAAAACGGTGGCAAAATATCCACTGTTCGCGAGAGCAGCACCATAAACCTGAAGAAAGCGGAACACTGACAGTCGAATTCATAGACCATGGAAAGTTGAAGGAGTTGGTAATGAGTGCTTCAAAAATAAATGCTAGCAACGAACTATAAATGAATGCGACTGCTTTTCATGAAAAAAGTTCGGAAGTAACTTAGGGTTTCATTTTGAAAGCATCTTTCGCAATGATGCCTCTGTTTTAGTATGCTCTTTGAAAATAATAACAGTAATAATAATAGTACTAATAATGGTAGCAATAACAATAGTAACAATAATGAGTGACAGCAACAACAACAACAACAACAACAACAACAACAACAATAATAATCATATTGATAGCAATGATGATAATGATAATAATAGTAATAAAAATAGTGACAGTAATAATTATAATGATACTAATAATAATAATATTAATTAACAGAAGCTGTCGCGTTAAGCGATGTTTATAGAACAGTTATAAATATCGATGATTAATGTTCATGTTATGTTTC